TTTTATTTGACCACTTAATTGATGAGGGTTGATAAGAATAGGAATTCGATATTCTTCTTGATAATTATTGACACTCTGTTATTTTCTGATTATTTTTGACATCTCCATAGTTTAATACCCTCTCATATACACCTCTTTCCTGTGGTGTTGATTTAGGTATTTTTTTTCCTAAAGTAACCAAAAACTATTTTTAAAGAAATGAATCATAATAGTCTTTTAGTCTCTCTTTCTCTCGGTCACTTGACAAAATAAACCATCTTTTCTCTTCCATCTTTCTTTTTTTTTTTTTTTTAATTTTTTATTGTTGGCTGTTCAAGACATTACATAGTTCTTGATATATCATATTTCACAATTTGATTCAAGTGGGTTATGAGCTCCCATTTTTACCCCATATACAGATTGCAGAACCACATCAGTTACACATCCATTGATTTACATATTGCCATACTAGTTTCTGTTGTATTCTGCTGCCTTTCCTATCCTCTACTATCACCCCTCCCCTCCCCTCCCCTCCCCTCTTCTCTCTCTGCCCCCTCTACTGACATTCGTTTGTCCCCCTTGTATTATTTATACACAATGGAGTATTACTCTGCATTAAAAAATGACAAAATCATAGAATTTACAGGGAAATGGATGGCATTAGAGCAGATTATGCTAAGTGAAGCTAGCCAATCCCTAAAAAACAAATGCCAAATGTCTTCTTTGATATAAGGAGAGTAACTAAGAACAGAGTAGGGTCGAAGAGCATGAGAAGAAGATTAACATTAAACAGGGATGAGAGGTGGGAGGGAAAGGGAGAGAGAAGGGAAAATGCATGGAAACGGAAGGAGATCTTCCATCTTTCTTAAAGGATATGGCATGAGATGTTATTTTTTAACCAAGTTATTATCCATTTAGAGATATTGCTTTTGTTACTAAATCTCCAGAATTTCAGACTTAAAATGAGTACATATAAGACTTACATGTGTAAAAAATTCTATCTTTATAGATAACAGTGATAGAAAGTCTACTCTGCCTGGCCTTCTGTGTTATTACATCTAATGCTGAACCCTCTAAAATAATCTTATCCCTATTATATTGGAACCTGAGGTTTAGGTAGGTTAAGTGACTTGCCCAAGCTTACTTAGCAGGCAAGTGGAATATCTGAGATTTGAGCTCACTTTCCTCAATCTCCCTAACAGTGTTCCACTGCATATGCTCCCTCTCACTATGAGAGTCTGGACCCAGGGGACCACTAAAAGTTCATCTATATCTATATTTATAACTTTCTCTCTCTCTCTCTCTCATTTGGATATTAAACCCAGGGCCTTAAGCATATTAAGCATTCACTCTGCCGTGAACTGTACCCAAAGCTCCTACATCTATATTCCTATAGTTATTTCTGTCTACATATTTGTTTATTTACTGGTTTATATGTGGTATAAAAAGAGAGAAAATATGACTTTATAATTTGGTCAATGGAACTTGGAGGCCCATCCTCATATTCTTCCCAGTTCATTCAAACTTCTCTTTTTGACCAAGCTCTCCTTGACTGTCTGTCCACCTCTATTTTGAGCACTTATAGTTGTGGCCATACTGTCTTGGAGAATGTAGTATGGCCTTGATGTCCAATGGTTTAGTGACATAAACTCTTGTTTCCTGATTCAACTCTCCTTCTTGTGTCACGTTCCTGGGAGGTTGTGTGTTATATCTGAGAACCTTGGTTAGTTGGTTTCCTGGGTAATTATCAACCAAGTAAAAAGAAATGAGTTAAAAATCAGGGTCCAACAGGTGGGTCCACCCAGGAAACTGATCTGTGTGAGGGAAAATAAGAAGGGAAGAGGCAGAGGATGGGGCCAGAAGGCAGTGTTGCAAAGATGCCTGGGGCCTCCTTGAAAAGCAGACTGGTGTGAGACAGAGATCAGAGGCAATGTGGTATCATAGGGAAAGGTCTCTGCCATCATGGAGTTCTAGGTCCACCACTGCCCCTGGTGCTCTGGGAACTATCAGCAAGTCTCTTCCCTAGGAGGACTGGTATCTGGGACTACAAGCTGATCCTCAAAGAATTGGAATTCTTTAGAGTTGAATAAAGTTGTAAAACAACAACAACAACACAATCTTCTAAAATTTATTTCCAGCATTCTCCTTTTAATAAGAGGAAAGGATCCACTTAGTGCTAACAGGTTCTTCACACTTCTCTAACATTTGCCAAACTATTTTTTTCTTTTAACACTATTTTAAGAAAAAAAAATTAGTTAGGATACATACTTAGTATGAAATTTTTTTTATTTAGGTGTAGTTGACACACTATAAACTAGACACACTTACCTGCATGGTTTGGTAAATATTTGACCTGTGAATACACCTATGAAACTATTACCACAATCAAGGAAATCAATCTATCAGCAATTCTGAAAGTTTCCTCATACAGCTTTGCAATAAATATCCAGCTCAATGGATTTTCAGAACCTGAATGTACCTCTGTGACCAGCATACAGATCAGGCTACTTCCTGCTCCTCCTTAGGATTTGGAATTCAGCAGTCTTTTAATACTAGTAGTTGGGGTTTGCTAAGCACTGCCCTAATTATGTTGCTAAACTGTTTGAGTTCAGATGGGGCTTTGTTTATGCCTGAGCACATTATTCATCCTCAGTTATCTTATGTATAAAATGGGCATAATAACTTTATTCACCTCAGATAATTGTCAAGGGGATTATGCGAGCTGACATTTGTTCCTACAACTGAATGTTAATTTAGGAACTAGGAATATGAAGTATATAGCTTTTTAAAAGCTGTGTATTTGGATGATATTTTCCATGAATTCTTCTTATTCCTCAGGCTCAGGTCTCATCTCCCTTCTCTCTGCTGATTTCATATATGGGAGATGAGGGAGTGAGTTCCCAAAGAGCAGGAGGATCCTGGCATTCAGTAGGAACTCAATAGATGTTTACTGGGTCATCTTGACTTGAAAACTCTCTGAAAAGATTTCTAAAGCCTGTTTTCTATAGCTGTGGATCATAGAAATTTGGGGAAAGGCTGCCTGTTATCATCAAGGATCAAATAAGCCAGAGGAAATATGTTCTGTTTTCTAGGATGCAGTTCTGGTCAGCCCTGCAAACTATTTAGCCATCAGAAATTCTTCCAAGGACAAAAATAAATAATAATTTATCTCTAAAATGGGAAGCTGGGTGTGGTGGCACAAGGTTGTAATCATAGGGGCTTGGGAGGCTGAGGCAGAAGGATCATAAGTTTGAAGATAGCCTCAGCAATGTAGTGTGACCTTGTCTCAAAATATTAAGGGTGCTGAGGATATTGGTCATTGGTTAAGTGCTCCTGGGTTCAATCCCTGGTACTAGATAAATAAATAAACAATATATAAAATAAAATAAAATGGGAGACAGGAGGCTATTAAGCTATCCTGAATGTTAGCTACTCATATGCTCTCCTGTACCCAGGAAGCTTGTACTCTTGGAGTGAGAGTGCAGCTTTGTGAGGGATGTACTAAAGTGAGGGAGGAAGGGGACACCAGCTTAGCCATCTGGGTCAGCCAGATGAGTCCTGGTGATCAGTGGGGTGACAAATGTTGTTGCAAGATCACCCTTACATCCTCTATCCTGAAGCTGAAGAGGATACAAATGAATCCACCCCAGAGCATGGCTGACATTTACTTTCTTGATCTAGGTGCTAGTTATAAGGATATTCCTTTGTTGAATATTCATCAAGCTCTACATTACACTAAAAAAATTGTAGTCTAATTCACATGTTATGATGCACCCATTTTAAAGTGCCTATACATTTTTATAAATGTAATACTTAAAATGTAAATTTTTAAAAGGTGTATATAGCTCAACACATTTGAACTATACTTGCAATCATGTAAACATTACCTATATCAAGATAGAGAACATTTTCATCTCAATTGAAAGTTCTCTTGTGTTCCTTTTCCTGAACATGAGCAACTTTCTGATTTCTGTGACCTTAGACTTTGTTTTACCTGTTCTTAAACTTCATATAAATTGGATCTTACCATATGGACTTTATTGTGTCTGACAATTTTTACTTGACATAATGTTTCTGAGATTTATCTGTGTTGTTATAAACAGCAATATTTCTTTTTGTTTGTTTGCTTTTTTTTTTTTTTGCTACTGAAGATTGAACCCAGGAGCAATCCACTAGTGAGCTACATTCCCAGTCATTTTTTTATTTTGAGACAGAATCATACTAAGTTACCCGGGCTGGCCTTGACCTTGTGATCTTTCTGCCTCAGCCTGAGTAGCTGAGTATAGTAATATGGGCCACTGTACCTGGCTCACTCCTTTTTATTGTTGACTAATACCCCATTGTATGAATCTACTGTAATTTATTCAACTTTTAAGAATATTTTTGTTGTTTCCAGTGTTTTACCTTGTCAATAAAGCATCTATGAACATTTATGTTGAAGTTTTTTGTGTCCAAATATTTTCATTTTTTTTCTTGGGTAAATACTTAGCAAGAGAATGCTATGATATAAGGTAGGTATATATTTGTCCTTATTAGAAATTATTGAACCATTTTGCAGAGCAGTTATACCATTTTACACCAAGGCTGTTGAGTTCCATTTGTTCCATATTATTTTAAACACTTGTTATTTTTAAGATTTTTGTAAGTTGTATATTTGTATGCAATTTTTTATGGTATATGTGTACGGGCATACTTGAGTTAAAATGTTAAAAAAACATTAATAAAAATAACAGATATTTAATATAATTGAAAAAAGTTGAAAATTTAACTGAACTCTGGGTGTTTTGTAGGTGAATGCCAGCAATCTGATAACTGAATGTTGCCCTATTTAAGTGATGCATTTTTATTTTACATTGGGGAGAAATATTAAGTGGCTGAGCCTTGGGATTCACTGAGGAAGTATTATTTCTGTAAGGAATTTTCCCAATGGTTCTTTAAAAGATCTTTTCATCTTTATTTTTGACTTAGTTTTTCATAATACACTGACCAGAGCTCACTCCTTTTTTTCTTTCCCATTTCAGAACATAAATGTCCAGTGGATGAACGAGAGCAGTTGGAAGAAACCTTGCCCCTGATTTTGGGGCTTATCTTGGGCCTTGTCATAGTGGTAACACTCGTGATTTACCACATCCACCACAAAATGACTGCCAACCAGGTGCAGATCCCCAGGGATCGATCTGAGTACAAGCACATGGGTTAGGGGTCATTAGGCAGGCAGCCCCCAAGTCCTATCCCCCAACTGGATCAGGTAGAAAAACAAAAACACTTTCCACCTTGCTCATGGGATACACCAACATAGCTACAATCCAACAGGCCTGGGTATTCGAGGCTTGCTTGGCCTGTGTCCATGCTTAAATCCAGAGATTGGGGAGTTCTTTGGATTCATGGGCTAAATTGCAATTTTTCTCTCCATGCTGGGGAGCCAAACAGAAGGGGGTCAGCCAGCTTTTATACTTATGATGACTTGCTTTTGACTCTCCAAGAAGCAAGAAACACCACTTGGAGAGCTATCTGGCCCTGAAGTTTAGGGATTGAAAACAAGCTTCCTTTGGGAGGAAACCTCTTTAGGTTCAGGGAAGAGGGGGTGCTTTGCTCCCTTGGCTTACTACACAGTTTAAATGCACACAAAATACAACCTCATGCTCCCTGCAGCAAGACCCCTGAAAGTGATCCATGCTTCTGGCTGGCATTCTGCATGTCTAGTGATTGTCTTGGGAATGTTTCACTGCTACCTGCACCCAGTGACTCTGCAGCACAAGAAACTGTTAATGTAACTATGCAGTTATTTGGAATATATAATGTGTCAGGTCCAAGTAAGGTGACCTGAAGAATCAATCCATGTGAGTTTGTTTTTGAAAATGAATTAAAACACACTACTCTCTGGCCTTTGGCTGCTTTCTTGAAACAAGAAAAAGAAAAAACACACACACACACACACACACACACACAAATGGTTTCTTTGGTATCAAGAGGGGAAAGGGGGAAGGATGAAGATGGATATCATTTTTCCTTTTTTTTTTTTTGCAAGAGGAAAAGCAAAGAAGAGCAAGAATAAAAAGAAGGGTGTCTTAGCTTTCCATTACTGTGATAAATATCTGAGATAAAAACATTATAAGGTGGAAAAGTTTATTTGGGCTCATGGTTTCAGAGATTTTAGTCAGTGGTTGCCTCACCCTGTTGCTCTGTGCATATAGTGGCACAGTACCTCCTGGTGGGTGGGAGTGTGGAGGAGGTCTCTTTATCTCATGGCAGTTAGGAAGCAAAGAGAGGGAGACAGGATAAAGGCCAGGGTCCAATATCCCCTTTAAAGATACATCCCAATGACCTAACTTCCTTTCTCTGGACCCTACCTCCTCTGCAGGTTCCATTACCTCCCAATAGTGTCATGAGCTGGGGACCAAGCCTTGGGGGGATATTTAAGGTCCAATACAACAGGGAAGAAATTAGCTTTGCTAAGTAAAAGAATATGGGTTTATTTTAGCAAATATAAGTAGTTTCAATAATGAAATCTCTTTTATGATGAGCATAGTATTGCTTCTGATGTGTCTTGGTCTTAAATATGGCATTTCTGTTTGTATTAAAAATCTGGACTGGATGAAAACAACAAAGAACAAATTTTAAGAATTTAAAAGTCAATAGTTGGAAATTAATGAGTTGTATCTACATATCTATTTTACTTGCTTACTTCAAGTGTAAGAATAAAGGCTTCAACTATTTTAGAATATTTTTATACAATTAGAAATGTTTCTGATAGTTATCATCCATGTGAATTAATTCATGAAACCTCTTAATATTGATGTAGGTTTCATTTCTGGCTCGGTTTATCTTTCCTTGCTTGAGTTGTTTGTTGCCATCCCTTTGAGGCTTGTTCCACACAGAGTACACAAATTTTTCCTTGATTTCATGGCCCTTTGCACATGCCTCTATTATAGAAAGTGCTTATAATACATCATGATCTGTCCTCTCCTAAAGATTCTGAGCTCTAGAAAAGTCTAAGACTATATTTCCATGATTATTATATATCTGTTGAGCATTAGCCCATTGCCTAGCACATATTAAATGCTCAATAAATATTTGCTAAATAGTGTCTCAGTAGATCCTTGTAGGAGCCCTGTAAAGTAGATGTTCTAGATATTTTTCTTCTTCACAGTTTGTAGAACTCAGGTGTTTGGAGTTTTAGTAATAGACCCAAGATCACATAAGTTAATTTGTTGAGCTGAATTTGAAGCCTGAATTTTATGAACAAAGCCATTTTCTATCTAGGATGAAACATTTTTTTTCTACCTCTCCCTTTTTAAACTTTAGCAAGATATTTTTATTTTTAAATTAGACTTTTAAATTGACTTTAACCTCTATTGTTTTTTGTTGTTTTTATCTAAATCTAATGTTTACAAGTCAAACAATGAATATAGGAAACATTTTTTAAAAAAGTCTGGACTGGACACATCAATCTAAGTTTTATTTGCAGTAAAATGTAATTTGTTCACACTTCAGACAACAGAAATGCATATAGTTTAAATTGTATTCACTTTCTAAATAATCATTTTTTTTAACCAACAAATTGAGGTCAGAGGAATCCTTTTCTTTGGTTCTAGGGTCAAAATCTCCTCCTCCTTATCAAATCTCCACCCAGCGAGAGGCAGCTTATGAATTCATTTCCTTGAGTTTTTAGCTGCTGAAAACTGGGAAAACTAAAAGTTCACTATCATGGCACATCTTGCTAGACATCAGCCAGTTGTTGTCTTTTTATTCAATTGTTTGCTCCTCCATCAATCTTGATCTTCTTTACCTGATCCCTCTTTGGTGTCTGCCTGGTACTAGTGAGAGGAAAATCTATAAATTCTCATAAAAGTTGCACAATGGAATTCCCCAAGGGGTGTCTGATTCCATCCTTTTATTAATCTGAGACCTTCTCATTGCCATATTCCATATTTCATAAGCACTTCCATTTCATCATCACACATGTTTTTTTAAAAATTATATTCTTTATTTATAACCATCCAAGGATTTGTGGAGATGCAGAAGTCACTATTCTTTTCAGTAACTCCTTCTCAGACTTATTCTAAGAAGGTTCTCCCCCACCTTTTTTTTTTAGTTTTAATTAGTTATACATGACAGTAGAATGCATGGTAACACATCATACATAAATGGAATATAATTTCTCATTTTTATAATTGAACATGATGTAGAATCCCACTGATTGTGTAGTCATATATGTACATAGAGTAATAGTGTCTGATTCATTCTACTATTCTTCCTACCACCATATCCCCTCCCCTCCCTTCACTCCTCTTTATCTAAAGTAAGGCTATTCTTCCCTAACACCCCACCCTTATTGTGAATTAGCATTCACATATCAGAGAAAATATTTAGCCTTTGTTTTGGGGGGGGGGATTAGCTTATTTCTCTTAGCATAATATTCTGCAGCTTCATCCATTTACTGGCAAATGCCATAATTTCATTCTTTTTTAAGGCTGAGTAATATTTGATTGTGTATATATACCACATTTTTCTTTATCCATTCATCTGTTGAAGGGCACCTAGGTTGCTTCCATAATTTAGCTATTGTGAGTTGAGCCGCTATAAACATTGATGAGGCTGTGTCACTGTAATATGCTGATTTTAAGTCCTTTGGATATAGATTGAGATGTGGGATAGCTGGGTTAAATGGTGTTTCCATTCCAAGTTTTCTAAGGAATATCATACTGCTTTCCAGATTGGTTGCACCAATTTACAGTCCCACCAGCAATGTATGAGTGTACCTTTTCCTCCAAGTCCTTGCCAATATTTATTGTTGCTTGTATTCATGATAATTGCCATTCTGACTGGAGTGAGAAGAAATCTTAGAATAGTTTTGATTTGCCTTTTTCTAGTTGCTAATTGCTTTTCTCAAATTGAAATTTTTCACATTTATTGATTGATTGTATTTCTTCTTCTGTGAAGTGTCTGTTCTGTTCCTCAGCTCATTTATTGATAGGGTTATTTTTTTTAGTATTAAGTTTTTTGAGTTCTTGATAAATCTTGGAGATTAATGCTCTATCTGAAGTACATGTGGTAAAAGGGAATTTTCCCTTTCCATACTATTGAAAATTCTCTTGTGTTTTTCCAACTTGTGTCACAAAATATATGCTTATTATTAGTTTTGGTATTGTCATATTCTACAAACACTGAATTTGAACACTCAGTATCAATTTTGAACATGTATTCAGTGCAGATTTGGTGCCAAATGTACACTAGTAAATGTGACAACTTAGAGTCCCTGGGGGGGGACTGACAAACACATAAGGATGTCACTCTAAGAAAGAAGAGTTTGAGTCTTTTCAAAATGGTGACGTGTATCCACATCCCTGAGCCTATGGTCTTTGGAATCCAAATTTTTTAATTCTCAAAACTTAGAGGGATTTTGTTTTACCTATAAAATGAGTATGCATGAAAAGCCATTTTGCTACTTACTGCTATTGTTATCCTCATCATTATTATTTACCATGTTATTTTATTTAGCTGTTTTTAGATTAAATCTTCAACTCAGCCCAATTTCTTTGAGCCTAACCTTATTTCTCTGAGCTCTGTCGTTCTCTTCATTATGAGTGGAACAATATAAAGTTGAGCCCTAGAATACAGAGTAGGAGTAGTGACTTATCACCATTTCTTTCTTTCTTTTTTTTCCTTTTTGTTTTTGTTTACATGTTGTGGCTACTCCTGCAGGAGAAATAGGCAGAGATGGTGGCTTATACATCTATGTCTTTCTCTTCCCATGCTCAAAGATGGGAAAGGAAATAAACAGATGAGCCACAGATGCTCAGTTACCTATTAACTGTTACTTTCTTTTTTACTAGGATTTTAAATACAAGTGCTCTGGACACATGAGGATACTGGGTATGGTTGCTGGGTCTGCCTACCTGAATAATCCATGGCAGATGAACTATAAGCAGATTTCTTTTTGGGAGAGTAACTTTAAATTCTGAATATGTTTTTTTGCAGAGTCCCCCTATTCCTAGGAAACAGCCCTCATGAAACTGCCTCAAAGGTCAGGGGACAGTTGCTTCTCTCCTGGAACCTGAGAAAGTTCTCCAAACTGTAACTACATTTTTTTTTTTTTTTTGCCAATTGTCCAATCTTTCCGTTAATGAAAACTTGGCAAAGCTGCATGGGTATGGGAGACACCAGACACATGTGAATGGAGAAGTGAAAGGAAAGATATTAGGACTGTTTGTATGGTCATCTCTGGTTGGAGCAGTATGCTTTCTGCATGAGGGTGTTTTTACAGGGTGTTAGTCCAAATTGACATTGGACAAAACAGTTTTCCTGCTGTAAAGCCAGCTTTTTCCTCACTGCCAACACCTAGTGACCCAGGCAAACAACTTTTGAGTATCTTAGCATGTGGTTTGATGCTGACTCCCCTGAGTTGTCTGACCCCTGAAAATGTCATTTCTAAGGTGTCTAGACTAAGAATCTGTATGGTGAGATCCTAAAACTTGCATCTTTACTATATACTCAGTTAATTTTGATGTAGAAATAGAAAAACTTCTGATTAAAAAACTTTTAGCATATATGCACATTATCCAAATTATTGTGTTTCTGTGTTTATTTTTTCATTTGAAAATAGAATTTACTCCCATCTCCTTGTAAAGTTATGTGAGGATTCATGAAAGTACACTTCAGTTCCTAGCACAATGCCTGGCACCCTGGAGATGCTCCACAAAAGATGTTATTAATGACATTTTTTTCAGCACAATTCTTAACATGATTATTCCAGTTTTGCTTGCCATGGAAGATGAAAAGGGACTACTGCAGGGGTTTTTAATTTAGCCTCTACAGTTCTCTGTGTCCATTTACTGAATTCATAATATTTCTATGCAAGGATTTCTCCCACCACAAGTCCAGTAAACCACTCAGGGGGTTGTCAATTTGGAAATGAGGAGAACTATCAGTCTATAAACTTGGATAGGAAAAAATTATTCCTTTAGTGTTTACTAATTTTAAACAGAAGGTATAATTTTATTTAATCATGTACATAGGTACTACACCACTATACGACCTGTGAATTTGTCATCAACAAAATCACTACATTACACTTTTTGGTGATATCTCAAAAAATCATTTATAATCACTGCATTGAAGTTATGATATTAGTTTCATTATAAGATCAGGATATTTAATGCATTATAACCACAAAATGAAAGTTTTTATTGTAATTATTAATGCATATTGATTAGACACATTAATGGTTTTCACTGTCACATTCCATACATGCATATATTGTGCTTTGATTATATCCACCCGCCCTACTATGCTATCTTGCCATCTTCTGTTCCTTGCTTCTTCTGGTTTCCTTCCCCTACCCTAACAGTCTCTTTTCATGCTTTTTTTAAAAAAAATTACTTTCCGTATATGAAAGAAAACATAATACTTGTCTGTGTATGGCTTATTTTGCTTAGCATGATGTTCTCTAGTTACATCCATTTTTTTTTCTGCAAATGATGGGATTCCATTCTTTATGCCTTAACACTTCACAGTAGACATTTACCTCATTTTCTGAATCCATTCATCTGTTGATAGGCACCTAAGCTGATTTTGTGAAGAATGCTGCAACAAACGTAGGAGTGAAGGTATCTTCTTTGAATGTGTACTTCATTTCCTTTAGATATGTATCCAGAGGTGGTATAGCTGATCCTATGGCAGCTCTGTTTTTAGTGTTTTGAGGAAACTTCATATTGTTTTCCATAGTGGCTGTACTAATTTACAATCCCACCAACAGTGCATAGGGTTTCCTTTATTTTCATGTCCTCATCAGCATTGAATTGTTTGATAACCACACTTTAATTGGTTTTCTTTGTAAACCAATGCATTTGAACATACCTGTCTGAGAAAGTGCCTAAATTTTTAGATAACCAAGAGGGCCTAGGTGCTAAGAGCCCCAGGGTTAATGACCACTGTAGATGTCATTTAAAGTGACTGAACCTGTGGAGTTGTCTGCCAGAGAAGGATTCACAAAGGCCCATGTGATAAATCAGATCATAAGTATTTATTGTCACTGATCACGTACCTTCTATGCCCAGTTGCAGGTCCTGGGGACACATCAATAGACAAAATAGGTAAAAATCCCTTTGTTGAACTGAAGTGTGTGTGTGTGTGTGTGTGTGTGTGTGTGTGTGTGTGTGTGATGTAGGTATTATGATTAATGTGTGGTAGTTTCCTAATTCTTTGGGCCTTGATTATCTTGGTTAAGGTGGGTCACATAAAATAATGATGTCCTTTCTAGTTTTAAGTTTTCAAAAATGCTGACAACATTAGACATAATTATTGAAGCATTTGTCTCAGGATCAAAACCTTCAGGATAAGGAGTGCATTTAAAATAGCATATTCTGATCCGGAAATCAACCATAGACTTTCCCCAAGTTCTTTTTTGTCCTCAATGAAATCTACTTATGTAGGAGATGTAGTTAGAGTCCCATCTCTGTTCCCTTACCCTTTCTGGAGGTCATTAGCTGACATTCCAATAACTTCCCCAAGTCTTTGGTGCAGAGAACTGTACCCATGTGCATGTCAAGATGAAAGTTCTGGGAGTTGCTATCCCAGGAGCAATTCTCAACCAATAAGAGTTAGGACATGGTGGACAAATACCTCCCTCATTCTCATCACCAGAAAGTCAGTTCTGAAGTGTCTCCCAGAAGGTTTGCAACTGCATTGAGCCCAGTGCCCGCCGTGAGGACCTCTTCATCTAACTGCACTTCTTTTTCTTTTTACTGCTCCTCGTTGTTTCCTCTCTACACTCTACTATGTGAATGAAGATTCTCAGGATAATCTCCCCCAAAAAGAATATCTATTTAAGTGTTTGTTCTGGGCTCTTATTTTGTTATATCCCACACCAACATAACATAAACTCAAAATGTAAATATAAAATGCACACATTTGAAGACTCAAACTGAATGCCTTTCCTGCACTCTGCGGATTTGTACTAATACCATGTCACTTTTACAAAATTCTTTTTGCTTGTACATTTTGTATCTGCTTCAAATCAAATCAATCTTCTCTTTCCCCAGATTCTCAATACCATTTCCTTGATGACACAGTGCTGTTCTTTTGGATCAGTTTGACCCAGGAGTTGTTAACTTCATAGAATGATTTTTGTTTTTTCAGTAATTGATACTGAGTGTGTTCTTCCCATTGGATAATACGGACACAACCACAATTCTGCTTGATTCCATGTATGTAATCCAATTTTTAGAAAATCAATCTTATTAAAAAAAATAACACCTCTCCTTTGCTCAGACTGCAGCTGTACCAGGGAGAGGTAGCAGCATGGGGACGGGAGGATACACGGTATGCTCTTCTACTCCCTCTTTCTGTCTTCTAAACTCTCTCCCAAATCATGGGGTATCACGCTAACATATGGCCCAATTCTATGGGAACCAGCAAGGAAGGGAGGTTCTTATAGACTAGCTGACCGTTCTTGGCTGCCTTGAGATGCTGTTGGAGGAAATAGAGATGCCTAATTCTTTTTTTTTTTTTTTTGTGAAAGAGCACACTTTATTCCGAAGCAGAGAGCAGCACAGTGACCAACAGAAGGTGCCCAATGGGCATCCTATATGTCGTACTCCAGAAGATACACAGGATGTTTTGCTAATAAAAATCAACAGGAACATGGATTCTTCTGGGCAACTTCCCCAAACTCAACCCTCTCAGGGGTCAAGAAAACGCCTGAAGGCAACTATGGTTCACTAGAGATAGAGGCCCTCAGCGGTGCCTTCTTGTTTTTTATAAAGAACATTTTCTTTAGATTTTTTGAAGTCTTCATTTGTTACTTTCATTCTACGTTCTCTCAAGGCCATCAGACCAGCTTCTGTACAGATTGCTTTGATGTCAGCACCAGAGAGGTTGTCCTTTGCCATAATTAAATCGTCCAGGGTTATCCGGCTTGTGTGAATCTAAAAGATGTGCTTCTTAGTCTTTTCATCAGGCAGGGGGAACTCAATCTTCCTGTGGATGCGACCTGGTCTGATAAGTGCTGGATCCAGAGTTTCTATTCGGTTTGTGGCCATGATAACTTTCACGTCTCCCAGTTGGATGGATTTGATTCAAGAGGAGACGTGAGATGCCTGATTCTAATTTTGCTATTTAGACTGGTCTTGGTATAGATGATATATGTGGCTCTTATAAGTTTCATCTCACTCTGACCCCTGCACCCTGCAGAAAAGCAACTCTCTCTATGCTACATGCCCCTAATACACTCTGTGAGTTGGACATCTCATTACTTAACTAAATGGTTTGACATATTCTCTGCTTCTTCTCCATGCTCCATCAAACATAGCCTAGAGAACTAGGTGTGTTCTTCTATCTGAGCAAAGGATGAAGAGACTGTCCAAGGAGGTGGCCTCCATCTTCCTCTTCCTTGGCCCAAATCACACTATGTCCTTTCTCATCTCCCTCTCAGGTGACTCCCTGAGGGTTTTCATCTTCCAAAATTTCCAGATGAGAGATGGACTTTTTATATACAAGCATACCTGGGATTAGTTAATGTCTCCTTTTGCACACAGAGGAGGGGACCATTGTTCTCTTCCAGGCCAAGAGAGCTTTCACTCCCTTTTCTAATCTAAGTCTTTTCTGCCTTTTTTTGTTGATAAAAGCTTAGAGATAGTTTAGCATCTTTGGGACTGGGAAATGGAATGGGAGTCCTTAACCCTGAATCTCCCTTTCCTTAAACTAAGTCTTCCATATTTGAATAATTTTTTTTTCTCAATGGTGTTATCCTATATCACAGTTTGACACTCTTTGTAACCTCTGCGGATGGGGAGACTTGTCTTTAGTTCCTGTACAGTAACTTTTTTTTTTTAATGCCTTGTTAAAACCCTATTGACAGATTTCTTTTTAAAAATTATTTTTTATATGTGGTGCTGAGAATTGAACCCAATGCTTCACACATGCCAGACAATCACTCTACCACTGAACCACAATCCCAGGTCCTGTCACGTGTAACTTTAAACCAACTCCTTTACGTTCCCCACAATCACAAATAAACCATCCTTGGTTATTCAATAAGGCCAAAAACACAATGGGGAAAAGGCAAACATTTATTTTCATTTGCAAGTGCAGTTTCTGCCACAGATCCTTTTAAGCTACAGTAACTTTTGGTAAACTCAATGAACACTTTAAAAAATAGCCAATAATAAGAAAGTTACATGAAAAAATTTCCATTACATTGTCAAAAATGTCTGAATCCAAAATCCACTGTTTTCTGCAGTTTTTTTTTAAATGTTTGTTCTGGTTAAAAAAGGATTTCTTTTTCTTTTCTATCTTATTCTACATAGTCCTGCTTAAATTAAGACAAACTATTTCATTAACTTTTAGGACTGCCATTGTCTGTATTTAGGTTTTTATTCTTACATATTTATATTAATATTTTAATATTTTACATAAAACATCAATTTGCTATTTTATGAAACAAAAAAATTTAAAGATCCTATTGATGGTGAGGCATTTCCAGTTTGGGGGAAAACTGAAAATCTAAACCATAGAAGGTCATTTTTATGCCTCCCCTCCCTTTTAACTATAATAAATAATTAGCAACCTATTAATATTACAAAAAGTCCTTAATTATGCTTAGAGTAACCAGAGTATTTTTGCAAATTTAAATTTATATCTGTTACAGTATATGAAGTCATTAAGAAAAGCCTCTGGTTTTCCAGTTTGGTAACAAATGGCTTTTGTCTGATGCATAATTAATAGAAACTAATGATGACTATGTAGCTCTTCCAGAGTTTTAAAGGCAAATCTATATTGGCCTACAGTTAACATGCAAATTCATCCAACAAGCAACACAAAATGTATTGTAGTAGTCATTCATTTTTATCAACATTCAAGAAGACCTAGACAGCAGCACAAATTCTCCTATGTCAGAAACACTTCATAACATGGTTAAAACTGAAGTCAGATCATACCTGGTAAAATACCCCCTTTCTAATTCATCCTCTAGCATCAGTTCAGACTTCCAGCACAATACATGAACAATAGAGATTAATACTGTGGTACAAAGGTAAATACAGACAAGAGTTTGGTGTGCTAGCATACAGAGTTTTAAAACAGTGATCAATGAAACCAAACATCTTGCCTTGTTCACGCTCATCTCCCTTTATGAGCCTGAAATTCCCACGGTCTCACTGAAACATTCAATTGTGGGGGAAATGAGTCCAATGATCCTAGCATTGAAATTGCTCCCTGGAAGGGAAATTTGGCCACAAGGGGATGGCATTCCCATTTGAGGGTATGCCACTAAGGGAAACATCCTGATGTGCAAGAAATGGTTTGCTTCTAAAAGCCTTGAAGGAAAATGTGATTTTTTCAAAATATTTAGCTTTATCCCAAGGAATAGTTTGGTAGTTTAATGTGGCTCAAACTTTATTTCATCATTTTTTGGTTGTATAAATGAAATGTGTACACCATCAACCATCACTCTTAACTCTTCTTCCATCACATAAGACACTTGTTAAGATAAGAAAGATATTCTACTAAAGCTGACGGTGATTGAGAGTCATTCAGTATTCAAAGTTCCTAAAGAATCGTTGGTTCTCTGAAAGGGATAAAAAAGTAGGAAAGGCTTTGTTCAAACTCCTGCTAGTAAACAAGTATTACTTCAACTGATACAATGGCTACGTGACATCAAAGTACTATAAATTATCAAAACTATTGTACAGAAAAATTACAAATTCATTGCAAAATACATTACACTGCTACCATTAAGAAAAAAGTGCTTTTTGTTTTCCTTTCTTTCTTTTTTTTTAATTTATTTTTCTTTTTTTTGCCAGAAAAGTATTCTTTCAATATAGAAAATCCTATGCGGTACCCTGCATGTGGCTAGGATATAACATAACGGAGTTTGTACTGAGTCCTTCTGATTTGCTGGATGAAGGGCTGAAAAATATAATAATGACTTATTAAAGCCATACTCCAAATGACCATGCCAGCTGTCAGTGGAGAGATGCCTATTTAAGACACAAGAAGATGCCCTGGTCTGTCGAACCCTGCCGGTCATCGCACTGTCCCACCAATCAGCTGGTCTAGAATGCACAGGCCTTTTGTATGATCTGTGGTTTTTCTTATGTTCTCCTGAATTATTCTCACATCCTTGCTTAGTTTTTGTCACCTACGTGAATCCTCTGCTCAGTGATGCCCTTAGTGATGCCGATATTGTCTCATGAGGGGAACGATGCAAGATGGTGGACCTGCCAATTTTAAGAAAGGATGTCCAAGGAGTTCCTGGGCTGTGGCTCTTAGAGCGGGTTCCCTCACCAACATGAGGTCTAGGAATCCCCGGAGCATTGAAGAGACCTGTGAAAACATACAGATAGCATCCTGAGAACTAACACAGACATTGACCCCAGTCCTCAAAATCATTTCCCAGTCCTGGCAACGGCTTCAAATTCTAGAAACTAGTTGCATTAGGATGAAAGACAGGTGAAAGAAAAGAAGGCATTGTCTTTATTAACACATGATGTTTTTATTTAAGTTTGAAATAATAAGGGTACAATTAAGAATAAAATCTTATTTACCAAATAAAATAGTACTGGTAATAATAGGGACAACAGCAACAACTGCATGATTACTATGTACAAGTGCTGGTCACACAGGCAATGAAGTACAGTATAAACATGGAATAGTCTTATTTTTCTAGCAACTACGATCATTTGGGCTCTGTGGACACCCCTCTCTTGAAGGGAAAGAAGTCTCGATTACTATGTACTTTTTCATATATATATATTAACTACATTCAAGTGCATACACACCAAGTGAATGGTCCAATAGATTTTAACATATCTTTACATCTATTTTCTCCCGTCAAGGTTTCTAGAAGGCTACCTTGGGCCCCCTTCCTGCCAATATTCATTCCTAGCAAAAGCTAACTATCCTATAGACTTCTAGTAGTATAAATTAGTTTTGTCTGCTTTTATACTTTATAGAAATTGAGTTAGGCACCATGGACCCTTCTCTGTCTGGCTTCATTCATTCAACATTGTGTATGTGAGATTCATTCCCGATGTGTGTGACCAAAATTTCATCCTTTTCATTGCTGTGTGGTACTCATTGCCCAATTATACCACACCTTGTGTATCCATTTGGGAAATAATCTTGGGAGTTTCCAGCTTTTGACCTTTAGGATTAAAGACACCTCTCATAGATGGCTTTGAAGAACACTGGCACTCATTTCTATTGGGTGTAAGACTATTTTCTTATAATACAGCTTTTGTTACTTCTCATTATTTAAACTTAGTCCAACCCAGTAAACAATTTAATTTCCTATTCAGCTCAAGTAGTTCCATTTTTATTCATTTTTATTTTTATTTTGCAGGTTCACACAACCTATATGAATCTAATGCTCTTTCCTGAGGTTCAGGTGAGAGGAAAGAGGAGACTCTAACATTACAAAGTATTCTCCCCAGCCCAGCTCGATAGTGCATACCTGTAATCCCAGTGGCTTGGGAGGCTGAGACATGAGGATTGTGTGTTCAAAGCCAGCCTCAACATGTTAGTGATGCCCTGAGCAGTGAAACCCTGCCTCAAAATAAAAACTAAAAAAAAAAAGCGAGGGGTATGGATCAGTGGTTAAGTGCCCCCGCTTTCAATCCCTCTCTGGTACCAACAAACAAACAAAAACAACCCCCCAAACCAAACCAAATAACAAAACAACAATAAGGACAAAACCCCCAAGGTATTCTCCCCTATAAGACAGCCTCACATTCTCTCTTATTACTAAGCAGATGGGAGGGAGGTGTGGCTGGGTCAGTGTTTACAGAAGGGTCCTGGGGACATATCCCTTTCTCAGCAAGCCCTGCAGGGAGCTGACCTCTTTGCTATGTGGTAGCTCTTGGACTTCTCATAATTTTTCCTGAGATTGGCCTAGATCCACATGTTTTGGGAACTAGGAAAGGCCCTGCTGGGTCTCTTACATGTATTACACTAATATGCCCTTCATCACTGCATGACCCAGTCCCTGCACACCTCTCTGACATGTTCTACCCTTGTCCCTGGCTCACTTTGACATACTCATATAAACCTTATTCTTTCTTAGCTTTTTAGGTCCTTGTACTTGATGTCCCTCTGCCTGGAACATTGGTCTCCCATACCATTGCAAGATTTTTGCTTTCTTTCATTTTTTTTTTTTTTTTTGGTACCAGGGATTGAACTCAAGAGCACTTAACCACTGAGCCACATCCCCAGCAAGATTTTTGCCTTCTTTCCATTTGAGTTCCAGATCCTTGTTTACCAATCCTTGTCAGAAACAAGGGCTTCCCTGACTCTTTTACCTAAACCAGTTCTCAATCCCCTCTCCTGTGCATACCATTATATCACAGTGCTTTGTTTTCTTCATAGAAATTATTTTGTTCATCCATTTGCTTATAGTTTATTATCTCCTCCTCCAACTAGAATGTAAGTTATGTAAGAGATAGGAAATCTGGGGTCTTTCACCCCAACATTACCAGTATTGAATGGAGCACTTGATTCACTCTTCCAATCAGCCCCTTGAAACATGAAATGATCCCACAACATTTTACATATGAACTCTGGCCAGAAAGGCTGAATCACAAAGCCCAATGAATGAACAGAAGAGCAGAGATTCGAATCTGAGTGACTAATTTCAGAGGCTATATGCTCTTACACCAGAATCTACCTGCCCACTGAGTGTGGCATGCCAGTCTTTGAAGCCACAGAGACGCTGAAAGATCCGATATCTACTTTGGACCTAGCAATACACACTACTCACCTTGTGCTGGTCCTTCACTCTTGGAGGTAAACTGTCCCGGATCCTACGCATTGCCTGCAGAGGAGGCTCATTGAAGTAGGGGGGCTCACCATCAATCATCTCTATCACCATGATCCCAAGAGACCAGATGTCCACCTGTTGGGCACAACACACTGGTTATGACAGGTAAGGGGAACACTCTGAAATGCTGGATGTGTCCATGGAACCCAATAGATTCTTACTTATTCATAACTTAATATGGTATTTGTAACTTCTCAAAATTTGCAACTCAGATTTATCAGCTGACTTGTTAGATTACTGAGGTCCTTGATTCTCTTTTTGCTTTTAAAAAGTGTCAGTGAAGTTCACACCAATAAGTAATAAATGAATAACTTAACATTCTGAAGTTCAGTACTTCAATTTTTACTGTATTAAATTCTGTAATTAACTGCCTTTCAGAGCAGATTCAAAAATCCAAATTTTTATGCTATGAAAATAGAAAATAAAGTTGCATTTAAAAATCATAAGAAAAGTTTTTGACATTTTCATAACAAACTGCATGGAGCTACTGCATACTATGCAAAACACACACCAATTTTTTTAAATAATTTGGTTTTTAAAAATAGTTCTTTTCCTACCTACTTTGGGATTTCCCCCTTATGCTTTATTGTTTTGAAGCAGCATGCACAAAACCCTGCTTTATATAAACCATCTCTAGGGAGTAGAGAGAGAAAAAAAGGAAGGGATGCTGAGAAATTCTTTCTGAGTGAAGAATGGGAAGGGAGGACAAGGAGAAGCTATAAGGGTGCTATGAATTCCCAGATCCAGGTACTTCCCTGTTCATTACTCTGCTTATCTGTATGCTGCATTACTATTATACCTCTTGGCAGTGACTTTTGCTGAGAATTTATCTCTTGGAATGACAATGAGACAAACGAGTTGAATGTTCCTCTGAGGTCAAGCTAAGAAGGGAAAGAGCAGATTCGGCCTTAACTTATGCCTGCATTCTTCATGTACTGGTTCATGCCACTTTTTCCCAGGCTTCTCCTCTCTCAGAATCACCAGCTGCACCATAACACGTGGACACTCTATACTCAGCTGGAACTGGCTGCTTGGGCTCCATGTGGATGTAGCCTTGTGTGCCTCAGAGCTCCTACTCATGTTATTCCCTCCCTAGAAGGCCTTTCTTTCACTCCCTGTGGCAGCTCACTTTCACCTATTCAAGTCCTATCCCTTCATAGATTATTGTTTGCTTTCCAGAAAAAATATAAATTAGGATGTAGTTTTGAATGTTATGATAGTCACATGATCTTTTTCTATTAGAGGTCATTATGGCTCAATCAAATATTACCTCTACTTGTGCCATTTTCTCTGATCCTCTTGCCTTTCTATGAAATATGCCTGCTAATTTTAGCATCTCTAGAACCTATTTAAGAGTGAGACTCCCATCCCAACTCCCATATACATTGTAGGATTGCAATAAAAGCCCCTGGATAAATATTATGGTAATATTCCAAGTAGTGGCCAATGTTACTTCAGCCTACTCTGTCCTAAGTCAGTGAGTGGGAATCAACTGTGGTGTCAAAAGTCATTGCTCCAATTGTCTGTGGTCACCAAATGTCAGAACACAGCATCACTGCCACTTTTGAAAAAATGCCTGTTTTGCCCTTACCTCTGTCCCATAGGGTAGCCTGGAAATAACTTCAGGTGCCATCCAGTAAGGGGTGCCCACCAGGGATTTCCTCTTTGGCACCTCTTTGGAAACTTGAGCACAGAAACCAAAGTCAGATAGCTTTATCTGAAAAGAAAAGGAAAACCATAAATGAACACTTTGAAAATACTGTCTGCTAGGCATACAACAAAATAAATATATTTACTTAGAAATAAAGACATAAAGAGCATCAAATTCAAATTCAATAACCAGCCTCAGAAACATCAGAGAAGAGGTCACAAGACCCTTTTACTGGAAAGGCACAAATCCATTTTAATGGAAAAACTTTTTACAGGTCTACCAGAGTTGACTTCCAAAGGCTTGAACTCTAGCTGCTTTTATCTTTTCATAAAATTACAAAACAACAAAAAACTCTCACAAATTAAATGTATAATCTATTCATTAAATCTCAAACCCATAACTTGAATATAACAGATGATGCTTTAGTGTAAGTAAATTGCTATTTGTGAGGGGAATTTTGTACACATTGCTGTAGCATAGACTCTTGAACACATTGAGAATTCTATGTACCATGTGATGATTTAAACAGCCACCCTCTTTTTTAGTGTGTCTGAGGTAGCGGAAGATATTCATTTATCTAGGATGCCAAGATATCACTTAAAGTGTTGGTTCCCCTTCCCTTTTTGTTTTGCTCCTTTGTCCCTGGGCACAGCTGAAGTTAACAATGTAAACATCTCAGAGTGGAAATGCAGGTATAGAAACAGGATGTCAGCACATGGTTGACAGTTCCTTAAGGTGGAGGTCAAGCTAAGAAGGGAAAGAGCAGATACTAAGGACTCAGATATGGTCAAAAAGAAAACGAACTTTGAAAATTCTTGCACAAAGCTCCTGTCCTTTTAAGAACATAATGCACTGTTAGACACCGGTTGGCTTGTGTATTCTAAATGATCGGGATTTAGTTTATTTCTGGGAGGCACACTTCCTGGTCAGGATGACCTGCTCTGAACTTCAGGTGGCCTTACCAACCAGAACATCAGTGGGCCGCTTAGTTGTTAGTGGTGATAGAATCCAAAAGGAAATAGTACACTGGGCATTGTTTAGCAGTGGTGCAGAATTAATATTTGAAGTTAAAATTCTCTATAGATCCAAGATACAGTCTCTAAGGTATGAGTTCTGTCTTGATATTCTATAACTTTCTGAATCTCCTTTCTCAATCTTCCTTTTTAAATTTTCTTTTTCTTTTTTTGTCTCTACTTCTGCCATCTATACCTTAGACTTTGATGTTCCTTTGGGTTCTGCTTTCAACCCTCACTTTTTTTTTCCTTTTTGCCTATTCTTGCTGCATATTCTCTTTCTTCCTATACTTGTTTCCTCTCCATTTAAAATCTGTATTTTGGGTTGGGGTATAGCTCAGTGGTACTGTGCTTAGTTAGCATGCATAAGATCCTATATTTGATCCCTAGAATCACACACACACACACAAAAAAATCTCAAACAACAACAAAAAAACATCAAACTGTGTCACCAACTAGTATATGTCTCCACATTGGATGACCTCATTCAAACTTGCTATTCTTTGCCTCGTGATGCTGCAGCCATCTTAGTTTGCACAAGCATACTTTACAATGTTTTCACAATGAGCAAACTGGCTGTGACCACATGTCTCAGAATGTACATTTGTCATTATATGAGGTGCAACTATATTCAATTAAGGCGAGGTCAGGGTGGATTAGTGTAGGTGCCAAATCCAATGACTGGTGTCCTTATAAGAAAAAGGACACACAGACACATAGGGAAGAGCATAGGAAGATGGAGGCCATGATTAGAGTGATAATCCTCTAAGCCAAGGAATACCAAGGATTACCAAAAACATCCAGAAAGTAGGAGAGAGGAATATAATAGATTGTCTCTCAAAGCTTTCAGAAGGAACAAAATCTGTCAACACCTTGATTTTGGGTCTTCTGTTCTCCTGTACTGTGTGAGACTAAATTAAATTCAGAGAGAATAAAACTCCACTCAGTTTGGGGGCTTTGTTACTGTAGTCCCAGTACACTCTCAAAATGTATGCCTAATACACTCTAGCTAAACCTCACTGAGCTGCTACTACATGTGAGGTACCGCTGTAAGCACTTTTCATGTATATCTCATTTAACGGCTCACAAGAAACTAATGTGCTGGGAAATATTATTATCCCCATTTTATAGATAAGTAAGCCAAATTATAAATATATATTTATATTATAATTAATGGGAGAGCTAGGATTCAGATGTTCAATCACTACCCTGTACTGAAGAGCAAAATTATAGGTCAAAAGAAGGCAGTTAGAAATGTGGTAGATGTTGAAGATGGATTGCTGACAGGGTATCTGAAGAGATGAGAGGGATGGTATGCAGGGTCTTGCTACTCAAATCAGCAGCAGTACCAGTAGCAGCAACAACATGACCTGGGAGCTTATTAGACTTGCAGAATCTTAAGTCCCACCCCAGAGTCTCCATTTTAACAAGATCCTCAGCTATTGGTTCTCACATTGTAGCTTATAACAGACCACAGTTCACGTAGGAAAAAGAAGAACAAGGAGCATCCCTTGGTCAGGTGAGGAGTAAGGGGCATTTGTTTTCACAGGGTCTCATGTTTTCATTTCAGCATCATGACAGAAGCCTTCCTGAATATACTGACAATCCACCAGACTGCCTTTCAAGATGCTCCTTAACCTGCTGTCTTTTATGTAGCCAACCTTATTCCTCATTGCTCTCATATGTACTGCCACCAGTCCTAAGCATCAAGGGGGTTCCTAGAATGGGGGATTTCCAATGCTAAAACCTGAAAAGTTCCGTGCAAATTGGAAAGAGTTGGTCTGTTTCCAAATATGAGTTTTTGTTCATATTTCTTCCTACATATTCAATTCTCAAGTATACTCCAGGGGATGAAGAACATCTCATTTCCTCTGTGATTTTTCTCTGAAACCCATATTGATCAGTCCCTTCTTCACATTCAAGAGAATTCTGAACACACTCAGTCTTGAACAGTTTTCTACTGCTGGTTATGTCACTCCAGCTAGCAATGATATTCCTCAGGCTAACAGCTCAGCTTTTTTGATTGTAGAGCCTTCCTGTGTTCCTTAAGAGCTGGGCAAACAATAGATGCTCAAAAAGCACATGCCACCAGATTGATTTTATGTTGACATATGTATACATGATAGTAGATCACATGATAGAAGACACATTGGGGCTCTTTCTGAAATCATCATTGACATATTGAAGACACCTCTTTCTAGGATCAAAGTTAGAATACAGATGAAATACATATAAATGTTTGGGAATTTTTTTTCCTCTTTATTTTCTGTTCCGGATCTTTTCACTAATCAGTCACTAACAGTGGCTTGGAGTAGGGGACAACTGGATTATTCCTGGTGGAATTAGGGAAAAAGATGCTTTAGGGGAGAGATGATTTTCTCACTTGCTTTGGAAAATCAAGAATCAACTGCACAGGACTCAGATAATGGAATCTCCCCTGTTGTGTGAAGAAGAAAACCCTGTGGCAATGGCAATTAGTCCAGAATCCTTGCTGCCCTGTTATAAAAGAAGTCTATTATGCACAGAAGTAAAATTCATGCAGTCTGTTCTTTTTAGCCTGGGATTACTTACAGAAGGGGAAAGAGAAAACCAATGTTGATTATATTAGGCCCCATACTCCTTACTGTACACCAATTCCCAGTACACCCAAGTGGATGGCCGTGGGCTTCAGGATTACCTGTAGCATATGTACCTACACTAACAGGCAAGAGGAGAATGCCAATATATGTCTGAGTTCAGAGGTAATCAAAACATTTAATAATTGATCTAGATCAATCAGAATCTAGATATAAAGTCAAGCAGTGTCCTAGAGTTACTCTAGATAGGTCTACCATTTTTTAATGTAACTCTAAGTGACACTCTAAGAACTTGAAAGAGTGGCTCGTAACTAACCAGAATGAAAATACTGCAATATTTCAATAAACCAACTGAGCCGCAGGCTTGGCCATGCCCAACTTGGCCTCCATGGAGACAGCACAATTGTGTGAGTGGAAGTGGTCTTGAGGCAGCACTTCTGGCTTCCATGGCTTGTGTGTGATGCCCAAAAGTCTATAAGCCCCTCCAGATCTCAGTGAGAGAAGGAGAATGTGCCTGGCACAAGGCTATGTTTGATATACGGACTTGAACAAAAGGACAGCTTTCACCACTTGAGGCAAAGGCAGGAGGCATCTCCTGGACAGCCCAACCATGGAAGGACAAGCTGATCTTTATTCCAGGTATCAGGAGAGTCCAGGCACACCAATGCAAGGACGAGAGAGGACCTGAAGATGAGTCCTATCCCCTTCACCCTGAGGTTCCACATACCATACTTTTCCCTCTTCTCCAAGAAGCCACCATGGGGAAAAGAGTGGGTGTGGGAGGTGAGAAGAGGGAGTTGGTGGTAGCTAAATCCGAAAGACTTTGAGTTTTTAAAAGTATCAGCTGAGACTTAAAGTAATGCATTTAAACTTTGACAGATAATGCTTGAATTTTTTTCAAGCAACCTGATTTAAAATAGAGAATTCTAGAAGGAATCTATCCAGTAGAGATCTGAGAAGAAGTTGAGTCAGTTTTAGGAAACTCTCAGGTCTCTATCTGTGTGTGGGTCAGGGCTGGTTATTTCTAAAGCTAAACTGTGGGTGTACAGCCGCTCTACACAGACAGAAGAGCAAGAACAGTCACGCTGATAAATTCCATTTGCCTATACATTTAAGAAAACTGAATGATTAAGGAGGTGAATGTATGAGCATTTGAGTATTGATAGTTTTTAATTTCAGTATTCCTGGTGTGGGTTTCTCCTTGCTGACATGAACAAACTCAATCCCCTCAAAATGTGGCATACTAATAATTATCTTCCTGACAAAGTGTAAGATAAGTAATTGAAACTAGACACTTGGGACTTAGGCCTGTTCTTCTATTGTAGGAGTATAAGCACTTTTGTATAAGTTTTTACTCATCCAAGTACATAAAAGAGACAATTTTCTAAAAGAGCATAATTGCACACAACATTTGTCCAAATAAATCTGCAAGTAGATAATGAGATCTCAAGTAATGAGTATAATAAAGCACTGGAGG